TAATTCAGTTAGTGACCACTGTGGACAGGGTGGTTTTTGTGACTGACACATGCGCACTGGAAGCTGGACAGACCAACTCATTTGGCAAAGGTAGGACAGCTCCTTAATAAGTGATGACTCAGGTGAATGATACAATGGTTTGTTAGCTGATCCATTTCAGGAATTCACTTTTTTTTTTTTCCTTCCTGAAATGGGGATATCAGGATGCTCAGCATCCTTTGAGCAAATCCAGTTCCCTACACATTCTTATAAGGAAGGTACCACACCTGGAATACATTTAAACTGGGGGTTGGCTGGCTAGCTGAGACACTTTTGCTTCAGGGTCTGTTTTTTGCTTACAGTAGTCATTGATTTGGAGTTGAGCAGAATTAGCAGTAAAACTTAGAGGAAAACAGAGGATTGTGTGTGGTGTTTGTTTGCTTGCACTTTTTAAAGAAGAAAACTTTCAATTGGTAATTTTTGGAGATATTGCCAAGATGAAAGTCTCCTAAGTACAGGTCTAGGCTAGCTCAGATTCATCAGCTACCTTTCCTACTCTAAACGGTGTTCAGTAAGGAAAAAACAGAAAAGTTCTTCGTATCAGGTGTTAAGTCATTCCACTTTAAAACAAATAATCTCTGTGTGAGTTATGAAGCATCTGAAAGAAGGTCAACCACTGAAAGACATCCTCTGTAGAGATCGTCACAGATGAGGAGAAGATGTCAGCGCTGGATAGGCTTTGCAAGATTTACTTATTTATAAAGGAAATTCAGGATTTCAGTCCAGCACTTTTATAGAGCTTGAAAGGAATGAATTAAAACACAAAAGGGGGTTAGTCTATGGGAAGATCAGAATATATGTACACTGCATAACATGGAATATGAACCCTGACTGGAATGTGTGGATTTGGAGAACTGTTTCTGCTGGTGCACCTTTACTAAGGGCATGGCTACACTTGCAGATGTAGAGCACTTTGAGTTAAACCAGCCTTCGTAGAGTGCAGTAGAGAAAGCGCTGTAGTCTGTCCACACTGACAGCTGACAGCGCACTGGTGTGGCTACATTAGTAGCTCTTGCAACGGCCGCGGAGAGCAGTGCATTGTGGTAGCTATCCCAGCATTCAAGTGGCTGCAACGTGCTTTTCAAATTGGGGGTGGGGTGGGGTGGAATGTGACAGGGAGTGTGTTGTGTATATGTGGGGGGAGAGAGAGTGGGTTGTTGGGGGGCAGAGAGCATGTCAGCATGCTGTCTTGTAAGTTCAAACAGCAGCAGATCTCCCCCTCCCTCCCCACCTCTCTCTCACACACACAGCATTCCACAGTAATGGTTGCTTTGTCTCAGAGCAGATAAGCATGCCGGCTGTCAAACGGAGCTTTCAAAGGGCATATCCAAAACAATGACAAGAGTGACCACTTGACTTAAGAGACATTATTATGGGACATTTCCGGAGGCCGATCAGAGCACAGTAATGCAACACCTCATTCACACTGATGCTGGGGCGCTCCAGTGGGGGCACATCAAACATTATTCTACTCGCCGAGGTGGAGTACCAGGAGCGCTCTAGTCATGGAGCCAGAGTGCTTTACGTGACTTGCCAGTATGGATGGGTAGTGAGCTAGTGCGCCCTGGGCTCCTTTAATGTGCTGTAACTCGCAAGTGTAGCCAAGCCCTAAGTGTTATCCCAGAGAATGAGGGAAATAAAGTTAGATGATAGATTAAGAGTGTCTTAATGTCTATTAAAATGGCTCACTGTAGAACAAATAATGAAAGGATTCATCTGCTAACCCTTCAGGTCAGTGGTAATTAATCATCAACACAGAGCCATCACTAAACTGGGAAACAAAGGTCAGGTGTCCATGCTGATTTTTTAAATCGCTAGCACTCTGATACCATTTACTATGAGATTTTGTTAACTCACTTGTGGCTCAGACGGAGATTGCTCATTTCTCTTGATGATCTTCTTGGGGCATGTTCCTAGCCCTCTTGTTCAATGTGCTCTTTCTTGGGGGAAATAGTAAGGAAAGGGCTGCAGTGTTATTACTATGTATAAGACAACCGTCTCTTCATTCTTTCATTTGATCTAGCTGGTACAGTATCAGACTTCCCAGAACCTGGCTGATATGGTGACTAGAATGTGAGCAAGTGGTAGAATCTAGACAAAACAGAGGTTGTGGAGGAAAGCATGGAGGAATATGATGGCTGCCTCAGTTAATGAGGGGCCTTTGCCCATTCTTTGTCTGAAAACTTTGCAATTTTGGGTTGCTTTCTGACCCTGGACAACTCTTTGAATCCCAGCTGACACCTTTTTTTTCAGTCCACATCAGAAAAGGCAGTTGCAATCACTTTTTTCTTAGCTAGACCTTGATAGTTACCCACCCCTTTTATAAATGCATTCAGGTTATTGCAGTACACTCTGTGAGGCTACTCTTGTAGATATCTGAGAACTCCACATATATTGCATAATGTGGTAGATAAATTCATGGAGAATAGGTCCATCAATGGCTAATAGCCAGGATGGTGTCCCTAGCCTCTGTTTGCCAGAAGCTGGGGTAACACCAACAGACCCCGTTAGTCGCCCGGTGGGATCGAACCTTGGACCTCTGGAACTAAATGCATGAGCCTCTACTGCATGAGCTAAAAGCCAACTGGCTGTTAGCTAAGGCTGTAGAGGAGACTCATAATCTCACTTTAAGTGGTCTCGATGCCACTAGATGGGACAGAACACCAAACCCAGGAGGTGTGTGGGTTACACTGGGAATGAGTGACAGAGGATGGATCACTTGACGATTACCTGTTCTGTTCATTCCCTCTGGGGCACCTGGCCTTGGCCACTGTCGGCAGACAGGATACTGGGCTAGATGGACCTTTGCCTGACCCAGTATGGCCATTCTTACGTTGCCTGCTCAGCTGGCAGAGACCATGCAATAACAGTTGCTCAAATCCCCGTCCAGGGGGAAATCCCCAAAAGCCGGACATGTCCGGGAAAATCGGGAGGGAGGGAGGGAGGGCTCGGCGGTGCTCGGCCGGGGCCTCTGGGGCTAGGGTCGGCGGTGCGGGGCCGGTGCGGTGCCGGGCCGGGGGCACGGTGCTGGGCCGGGAGCCGGGGGTGCGGTGCCGGGCCGGGGTCCAGGAGCCAGGCGCGCGGTGCCGGGCTGGGAACCGGGGGTGCGGGGCCGGGGGCGCGGGGCCAGGAGCCGGGGTCGCGGGGCCGGGGTCGCGGGGCGGGGCCGGGAGCCGGGGTCGCGGGCCGGGCCGGGAGCCGGGGTCGCGGGAGCCGGGGGCCGGGGCCAGTGCCCCGGGGCCCGAGCCAAGCCAGGCGGGAGACGCCGGGGCCAGAGCCTCTTGGCTTGGGCCGGCCGCCGAAGGGAGCCGCTCGGCCAGGAGGGCCGGACTGAGCCGCGCCGCACCCCGCCCCAGCCTACCTGCTGCCTCCCTGTTTCAGGCTTCCCGCGAACATTTGATTCGCGGGAGGCAGGGGAGGGGGAGGAGCAGGGGGCGGAGCGTTCAGGGGAGGGGGCAGAGTTGGGGCGGGGCTGAGGGCGGGGGAAGGGGCGGGGTTGGGGCGGGGCTGGGTCCCCATGGAGTGTCCTCCTTTTTAAAAACTAAAAGATGGTAACCCTACCCTGGCCCTGCCGGTGGGGAGAGCCGGGCCGGGCCGGGCTGGGCTCTCAGAGTTGGGGGTTGTCTCTCCGCCAATCGCTATGGTGCCGCCTTGGGGGGCTCTGGGCCCCAGCACCTGCATAGGTGCCTTGCGATGCCCCAGGCTTAGCCCTGACTTCCCCTCAGCGCAGCAGCCGCACAGAAGCCAGGCCACGCTGCAGGCTGGAGCAGCAGCAGCTGGGCGGTATGGTGAGACCCGCCAGCACCGTCATGGATCAGAGGGCTCTGGGCTGTGACCCAGCTCCACAGGGGCAGGTCCACGGCCTCCACTGGGCCTGTGCAGGCACCAGTCACCCCGTCTCTCTCCGTGGCTCCCTGCAGCGAATGCAGCCGAGCCAGATGCCTGCCAGAGGCTTGCTTGGACCAGGTCCCTGCTGGCGCCATGCCCCAGTGAGCATTTGCAGAGACACCGGCAGCCTCAGATAGAAGCTGTTGCTAAACGCAAGGCAGGGCCAGCCCCGCCGCAGCCCCTGGGCAGAGCCCCTGCTACAGGAGCGGGAGAGCGGCCCCTGCCCTGCCCATGGCGTTCGCACTGGGGCTTCAGCAGCAGGGAAGGAGAAGCAGCCCCGGGTATGGGGGTGCTCAGCCCGCAGCCCACCGCCCTGCTGCTCCCTCCCTCCCCGTGCTGCACGGACACATGGTGAGTGCCGCCAGGGAGAGCCGCTGCCTTCTCACTGCTGGGCATCGCCCAGAGGCGGCCGGAAGCCTTGCCCACCCCCCGTGCCCTGTGGGGCAGTCTGCAGCGGCCCCGCTGGATGGGTCCCCTCAGAATATTTAGCTGTTGCTAAATGGAAGGCAGAAATTGGAAGGGGGGGGCATGACTCTGTGTGCCCCCCACATGTCGCCTCTGGTGTCCCCCCCGCCCCCCGTGCAATCACGAGGGATGGTGTACAGGGCTCGGGGCGGCACTGCCCGCCGCTGGGAGATATTTGTAAATCCCTGGTGATTGTCATTGGAGATTAGGGCTGCATGCCAGCTGGGGGAGCAGTGCCCCTTTGGCAGGTACCCAAGTGGCAGCAGGCCGGCCAGCTGGCCTTGGGGGAGCAAGAGGGGCCATGAGCCCCTTGGGTGTCGGGTGGTGGGGAGCGGGGCCATGTGGGGACCAGCTGAGGCTGTCCCTGTGCCCAGAGCGGCGTGACTGAGAGGGGAGTAATCCCGGGATTATGTGTGTGTGGGAGAGAGCCCCCCCGCGCCCTGCATATCCAGAGATATTCAATAAAAACCTCAAATCCCCACGCAGCCACCGGCCCCTGTTACTATAAAAAACCCCGCCCCGGCCAGAGCGCCAGGCACAGCGCCAGGGCCGGGGCCAGCGCCAGGCCCGCACAGGCATGCTCTCTGGCACGGGGGGGCCCGCAAGCCATGGGCAACTGCACCAAGACCCCTGAGAGGAAGGTCTCCAAGGTAAGACCAGGGTGGAGCGGGGCGGGCAGGGGCACACGGGCACTGATCCCTCTCTCCGTTCCCCTGTCTGTGTCAGTACCCGGAGCCTGTGACTCACCCCTGCCTGCCCTGCCCTTCACCCCCCCCCACGCCCAGGTTCCTCGTCCTTCTAGGCATCCACATGGCCCACCCTGCTGGTGCCGGAGACACCTCCACCCCAGGGCCAAGGGCACCAGGTGGCATCATCTACGAAGGGCTCTTGTCCTGCCCCACTCACCTTGTGCCAGTCGGCTTCTCCTGCATGTTGGGCCCTGACTGGATCTTTGCTGTAGGGAGCGGGGGTCCTGGGTCCCTGATGTTCATTGACCCCTCAGTGGGGCCTGTTGGTGCCAGCTGGGTGTGATGGGGATGGGGGCCCGGCCCTGTGGGATGCACAGCCTGGGGTTGCCCTGAGTGGTTTGCTTAGGGGGCAGTGAGCGATCCCAGTGGGAATGGGGCAGGTAGATGCCAGACTCCATGCCCACCTGCGGGCCTCTGCCCCACACCTGCCCATGGGCGATGGTCTCCCCATACCCCCTTAAAGCTGCTCCTGGGGCCCAGTCCCTAAAACACCCCACACTCCTGCTGCCAGGTCCCTGTTCCATGCTCACTATGCCCCCCCTATTTGCCCATGGGCTCCTGCCCCACTTGTGCCCACAGGGCCCCACTTCACTCCCACCTCCAGGCCCCGCCTTATGCCTGCCTGCTGATAGGCCCCTGACATCCCGCCAACAGGCCCATCCCCCCAAGACTGCCTGTGCATGGTCCCCCCACCAACACCAGCCCCCATGGGGCCCCGTACACACACACACATACACACACACCGGTGCCAGTGTATCAGGCCCCCAGTGGCAGTGGGGTACCACGTGTACATCCCCCCTCAAGCTCTGCCGTCTCAGCAGCTGAGGATGGGATCGTGGGTCTCTGGGTGTGTGTAACCACCTGTGTGATCGGGGGCTGCAGTGTCGGCGGGTTTGTGTCGTGCACGTGGGGGCAGGGGATGTGAGAGTGGCGGGGGGTGGGGTGGGGGGCAGCAAGGTCTGTGCCGTGGGTGTGTGCTGTCAGTGCTGGCCTATGGGGAGTAAGGGGACGTATCGGGGTGTCAGCGGGGCTCATGGATTTGGA